TGCAAAGGCAAAATTTCGGCGCGAATTAACCCCTGGCCCATTGTTGACCTTTTTTGAGTCTCTGGTTAAGAAAAACAAATCATTTTTTCCTTTATATGGTTAACTTATTGCAGTCAGGAGTTCCGCTTTTAGGGTTGGCTAATAAATCTATATATTATATTGCTGAACAAATGCTACTGCCACCAGTATAGAGGCGGCAAAATGGACAAGGAGTATATGCCCATAGCTTAATTCAGCTTTCTCATGTGTCCTGAAACAGTCCTATAAAAAGAGTTAAGACCCGTGCAATTTACTATATTCCATGCTTAACTAGACAGAAGGAAATAAAAATGACGCAAAATCGCATGCTCAGTTTTGAATTGTGCTAACTCAGCAAACTCAACGGAATTCAATTACGTTTCCACTATTGAACTTAACAGTACTCTTGTGGGATTGGAATAGTAGTAGGAGTAACATAGTGTTGTGATGCCCCAATACAGTCAGCTTCATTCCCTGCAGTTGGTAATTTATTACAAGCCATATTTTCCGGCCAAGAATAACCGTGTTTTTGCAGTTGATGGAGGCAGCTATTTCGAACTCGATCGCAAAGCTCTCTGCAAAGCTTGCGTGGTACACCGCAGGGAGGGGCGTGCAGGGAGCACACAAAGAGGGGCAGCTCCGGTGAGCAATCATTCCAAAGTGAGTTGCCATGAGGCGAGTACTGAAAGAACGGGTGAATGTTAGAGGCTGCCTCTTGTTGTGTTCGATGGTTGAAGGTGTTGGGAACCAACGTCATATTGTAGTGCAGACTGCTGCACACGGCAATGGTCAGAGGCTCACATCGCCCTGCAAAAAAGTAAAGAAAGTATCAGTAAAGAACGTGTCCGCAAATTAAAATTTGAAAAAAGAAATGTTTTCAACGGGGCGTAGCCAAAGCTGTGATCAGTTGTCCGCAAGTCGCACAAGCCTGTTCCTTATAGGTTATGTCTTGTGTACCAAGTACCTGTTAAGACATGAAAAACTAGTCGGAACCAGTTTTCCAGTGTTCCTTGCAACTTTCCCTGAAATTATTACCTCTGTACTATTTTCCTAATAATACCAAAACCAATTCCCGACAACACAAAAATTAGGCTTAGGAAACTGTTCTCAGTTTTCCACGAACAACACAGCAATGTGAGTCCATACATGTTTAATCTACTGCCCCATCAAACGTCACCTCACCTGTAGCGGGACCTGAAGCCGGTGTAACAGTGACTTGGGATCTATTCTGGGGCCTATCGATACACACTTCCTCACCCCCACGAGGGAACCTTTCGCAATTCAGGCTCTCTGGCCACCGTGAGTGATATAAGTAGTCTAACGCAGGTAAACATCCTCGCTGAACTCGAAGGCAGAGCTCTCGGCATGGTAGTAGGGAAGTGTCCAGAATCGTACAGGGAGGAGCGTAAAGCGAGCACAAAAAGAACGATAAGTCCGCTGAACACTCCCTCTCCACCAGCGGCCACCATCGATGAACTTCGATCGAAGCCTCATTTTGCGTCTTGTGCTGGAATACGTTTGGGAACACTGTCGTGCTGTATGGGACATTCTTGCATAGGGGAATCGACAACACCTGGCATTTTCCTGAAATGAGACAGAAATCCATACTATAGCTCGACGTATGTAGCACTTGACTAAGAGTTATCTCTTTCAACAGACGTTTGTAAGCCTCGACAATGTCCTTGTAAGATAACAAAATCAACATTTATTTGTACCACACGAAAAAAGAAAACTGCACATTTTTCTCTCTCAAAGCCGAAGGAATATGCAAACGAGAAGGAGAAAAAAGATTCTTATATTAATTCGGATTGTTTGTTTAGAGCCTTGCTTCTCTCCGAGAAAGAAACGGCGACTCAAATTGGATGTTTCTGTTTGAGATGGGAATGTTTTTTTCTGCCTGAGGTAACTCCGCTTAAGTTAAATTCTGTCTATTTTCCGAAGAGCAAAGTTTATCAAGACAGATAAACGCGAGAAATTTAAACTGGCATGAGCCAAGAAGCACACAAATGATTCTTGAATTTGGAAAAGAATCAGGTCTGTGAGCGTAGACTAAAAATTTTAGCATTTTTTACCTGTTTGTGATAACCTGATCTCTTCTCCAGTTAACGGTCCGCTGTAGCAGGGTGCCTCGTGTTTTCTTGGAAATTGAATACATTTATGATCGGCTGGCCATTGAAAGCCAAGGTGGTCAATGATACGCTTGCGTCGTGATTTAGCCTGTAGGCACAACTCTCTGCAAGGTGGTAACGGCAGGGCGGTCGTCCTACAGGGAGGTGTGTAAAGCCTGCATAGGAAATGCGACAACAGAAACGAGCAGTCGTCACCAGGAAAAGCAATCTGAAAGATTCGATCAAAATGCCCAAAGCCAGCGCGAGCCTCCTTTCCGCTCATGTGACCGAAGTAGTTTGGAAACTGGACGCGGTGGGGTGGTGGAAGGTGATTCGCGCATTGGTGATTTTGTAGCTCTTGACATGGTGAGACTCTTTGAACAGATAATTGATTCAAACATTTTGACGGGCCCTCCTTTGGTAAACGCCAGCACCGCATGGCAGATGGCAATGTGATCTTGTGCTTGGTTAGAAGATGCCTACAACTTCTGACAGCTTTAAGGCACAGCTCCTGGCAGGGAGGAGTAGTCTTCCGGTACCCATCACAAGGAGGTGCCAAAACGGAACAGAGAAAAGGTCGGAAGAGAGGAGAGCACTTACTAAACACAACTGCTCTAAACTCCTCCACGACCGCAATGGCTTTGTACTGAGTTCGGTGATTTAGCAAGTTTGGAAACTGAGTTAAGTTGTACGGCATATTTTGACATAATGGGATCCTTATTCGTTGACATTGGCCTGCCAAGTTAAAAAAAACAAACAAAAAACAACAACAATGTCACTGTGTGCGTGCTAAATGCTTAGAGAAACGTTGAATAAAAGTCATCTGGTACAAAAGGTAATTTATTATGTTCGAATTCCTTTAGTTATATCTTTTTTTACGGTAAAACCAGTGACAAATTGGGTAATGTGTCGAAAACAAATATCTTGGGCTCAGTTCAAACGTCGAACTTTTCATGAGCCGAATCTAATAGCCCCAATTTAGTACATGACGAGATAGACGTTTTTATCAATTAAGTTCGTCATGTGTTATTCTGGTCGATCCGAGAATTAAGTTCGACATGGCCAGTCGGTCAGTTCGACTACGGAGCGACTCCGATTCAAACTTTTCAGCTCTTTTCATGTACCGAACCTAACGCATAAATTATTATAACGTATTTTACAAGCAGTTCAAACTCTGACTGAAAATCGCTGACATTTGGATGTGATTTGTTTCAAATGAAATAAAGTTCGGTGAATTAAGTTCGACGTCTGAATCAACAGGCGTACTTTTGATAATTTGGGTCGGTCCAAATCTGAATTAGGTTCGGCTCATGAAAAGTTCGACGTCTGAACTGGGCCTACAACAGAGTTTATTTACCTTTGTCTCTTTACCTTGCTTCAAGTAACTCAGACCAGTGACAGTTATCGGAAGAGACGTCAGAGCATATCTAGAAAAAGGTGTTGATTCACGGATGCCTATTTTCTTCAAGTCTGCCCTTTCCAATCTGTGTTATATTTTATGACGTTTGCGTTGATTTGAAGTCCGTTCCTTTGGCCTGGTAGACTATGTTTTAAAATATCTTTTAAAGCTAAATCATCTACAATAATTCAAAACTGCAATTTGGCTTTGACACAGTGCGATGTAATTAACGTCTTATTAAAGGGCAGTTATGATTGTGAATAAAATCACGGCTGGAAAACTTCCATCTAAAGTCACACTCTGCAAATTTTCTTACTTTGTTTTGTTCGCCCCAAGTGTCTTCCTTTGTTCATCTCTCCGCGCGCGGGTCCGCGCTCAGCCATAGACCTGGAAACTCTTGTTTTGTTATCACCCGGGGTGACGTCATCTAAAAGATAAACACAAGCAGTCTCGGTTTTAACAATTTCCGTGCAGACTTGAGAGCATAAATGCATTAACACCTGTCGAGTTTCCGATTTGATTGACATGAGTTACGGTTCCAGGCCTGTAAGATAGAGGTAAAGAGGGTGGGTAGAGATGTAAATACTTTTTGTTCGGTGTTGGACGTAATTTGAAAGGTAATTTCCCGAGCAGGGTCTCGGGTCTCAGATGAACATTCAAATACAGTGGAAAAACTGGAAGCTTGTTACTAAGATGTACATCATCGCGAGAATTGGCATCTGTCATGCGTTTCACTAAAACGATTTCCGTTGATAAAATTTATTATGCTCTCTAGCTGTCGGAGTTGAGAGCATAAACGTGTCAACACTTAAGTTCTTTTCTTGATTGATTTTCCATCTGGTTGTTCCAAGGGGGTAAGGGAGAACGAATGGCCAGGGTACTCAATATAACGCATGCTTCTGGTAACGTCAAACTGGAACAGGATATCATGGGTCAGGAAAACGGCGACCATTCTGGAACAAACTTAATTAATATGAATGGAAACTGGAACAAGGAAGGTAGTTTTGCTGTGGACCCCCGGAATAAGTGTAAATTGGAATTTTCAATGATTTCTTTCATGTTGCATTCCATTCCGGTTCATCTTTGTGTCTGGCTACTTTACTGATGTTTAACTTGACAATCTAATTCAAATTAGCTCTACTTCCCGAAATAAGAGTAAAATGAAATTTTATTTTCCTTGAATTCCACTGTTTGCCGTAGCATCGTCCGCAGGACAGGGAAATCATGAAAGCTCTTATACAACGGCTGGCGAATGGCCCTTCAAAAACCATGGATCTGCCAACATTTTCGTCGAAATTCACGGGTCTCGCGGTCTCGTTTTCTTTTTAGCGGTTATGTGCGTCTCGCAGTCTCGATTTCTCACGAAGCTGTCTCGCATTCTCAATTTTTCACAAGAAATTCTTGAAGTACTAATTTTTTTTTTTATAAATGATGTCTTAACGTCTAAAAATCTGAACGTCTCGCGTTCGCACTTAAAACACTTGAAGTCTCGGTCTCGCGGTTGAAGAAGTCAAACTGATGTCTCAGGCTCGCAAAGGAAAACGTTGGTCTGGCCTTCTCGCAAAGTTTAGCTTTACCATTCACCACTCCTTACACATGCAATTTCTTCGTTTCTATTCTAAGAACCACCAGCTAACCTAAAATACCATTATACTGCATTGTACAGTAAGTTCAAAAAATAACTTAAAGAAAACCGTGCTAAATCAAACGGCAAAGCAACAAAAGTAGGCCCTAGCAATGCAGGCCACTGCAAAAACGTGAGAAACTTCAAATGAGTCATATTTTGAGCAGCCTGCGAATGCAGGCAAGGGATACTGCATATCGCAGGATTACAAACCCTATAGTCCAGTGATAAGTTTTAAAGAAAAGCAACACATAACTACCTTGTAATGGCTTCAATTCTGCGACCTTGCCTCTCAAACTTGTGATCTCTTCTTGCATGAAGATGACACCAGCAATCAGAACTACACCAGCACCGGCAAGGAAAAGAATCACGGCAATTAACAGTCGTCTACCTCTAGATTCTGTCTTGCTTGAGCTCTCCTTCATTATGGCAGCTGCAGATATCAGATTAGGCTTTTGAACGACTTGTTCCACAAGCGAGGCGTGTTTCACTTGTATTGTGTCGACTGCTCAATAGCCCTGAAGTAGCTGAGGGGTTATATTTCTGTTTCACAAAGTCTGGAACAGAGACTTAAATCTGTCTGATTTTGGACAAAATATCAATTTACCGGAATCCAGCCAGAACAGAAAGTGTTTGTTCTGGCATAGGCATATCTTATCTTTTGGCAAAATATCCATTCATAAATATGTGTTAAAAGATTTGAAAAACGAAAATTGTCTCGGAAAACATAATAGGAGTAGGGTGTCTTTTTACAACATCTCATTTTGATTAGGGTAGTTATATATTGTCGCACACGTTTATTACACGTATCAAATAAATCTTTCCTCAGAAATTTGTTCCATCCAAACGTAGATTGAACACGGTAACTGAAAATAACAAAATTACAAACACGGGAATGAACACAAAATAACTAACAACGACCGAACATGAAGAATGCAGAAAAACGACAATGCTAAATAAACGAGGAAACTTACAAGACGAATGTGACGAACCCCAAAACCAAAGACGAACTGTAAAGCTGTAGCAAATCCAGACAAGACGTTTACAGAAACTAAAACCGCTACTGACTAAATAAATTACGCGTGAACCGAACATATTGAGTATGCAAATGAACATAACACTACAAAAGGCCACAAAACAAAGGAAACTAATTACGCGAAAACTTGACACCAAACACGAAGCTATGACATTGGGGGTGGGGACTCCCTTATATGAGCTAGACAGGTATGTGCGACCCCAAAGGGTATGGCTTTTCAGCCGTTTTGGTCATAAAATAGGGTATCGAATTTAGCCTATTTTGGCCATTTTGGTCAAACATAGAGTACGGCTTTTGCACTCTAGCCTTGATATGGGTATGTTTTTAAGAAGAAGCCACTTTTTCATCATTATCGAAAAGAAAATTAACAAAAGCCCTTCACAAATTATGTTTACGGTAATTTAACATTGATCTGAACAAGGGAACTCAATATATCGCAGGTTTGAAACAGGGTTTTGATTTAATGGTCAGGTCATAAATAGGTTATCGAATATTTGGTCAGGTCATAAATAGGGTGGGGAATATCGCAGATTTTGGTCATAAATAGGACAAGGGTTTAAGAAGCGGGCTGCACACCCCTACCTTACTTTTCTGGAAGTACCCATCCCCCCCGGGTATGACATAAAGTTCTGGCGCCTACAGTGGTGTTGGTTGTGGACAGTGCTGGGATGGACAGTACAAATCATTCCAACCTCCACTGACGGCCACCTCTATATAAAGGCCACTTTTTTTATGTCCCGGTGGATGATGCATACATTCCCTCTTTTTTCAACCTCTTTACATCGGCCGCCTCTTCACAACGACAAAGGCAACGGCTACTAACTGCCAAATATTAAACCTTTAGACAACGGCCGGCAGTTGACAACGACTGACGAATGCATGTTGTGTACAAAAAAAACATTTTTTATGGTGAAAAGTCACGAAACGTGATCCGCACCGCGCCGTTGGTTTCTGTTTGGTTCCTGTTTTACTGATAAATTTTCATCGCGCTACGTATGCACATGTTATGACATAATTTTTTGAAAATAAGAATAGATATTATACACCCGACTAAAGAAAAAAAAAGGCGTCATGTTACACCCCTACCTTCTCATAACGGCCACCTCTTTGCAACGGCCACTTTCCTCTGTCCCCAAGGTGGCCGTTGTGGTGGTTCGACTGTATACTCATTCAAACGGTAGCGAACAGGTCTAATATGCCGTCAGGAATTGCCTTAAGGCTTGTTTCCGTATGAGCGCCACGAACGCTGTAAAAAAAGCTCATCCATCGTTGCGAATCTAGCTTGGCTAAACAGGTTTTTATATTAAAATGGCAAATTTCTGCCGCCAGGTTGTTAAACTGCTAGGCTCTTACATGCGAGTTCTTGCTGTATTTGGAAACCGGTAGTCGTAAAGATCGCTTAACTTTTTTCGCAGCGATCATATGGAAAACTGCATAAACCTTGCACTTGAAAATACAATAGGTGACCTTTTTGCTTAGGTTAGGTTAGGTCGGCATTTCCTGAATTCTCCGGCCGCAGGAGATAGGATCCAGAAAAAGCCACACAAGTTTGAGTTAACCACTTTAGTCCTTAAATACGCGCGCGTTTCTCACTCACGAGGTTTTGATCACAACTCTGAACTAAATGTGTAGACAAGGTTTAATTAAAAGGGCTAAACGACGCTAATTGATCACAAGATATAAATATGTCAATCAAAGGTTCGAATCAATACTGGAATCGTACCAAATAAATGTCTGTCGTAAATGCGTTCCTTGATTATATACTGATAGGATTACTGAGATTTTATCTAGTGTCAACCTCTCTTGACAGTGTCTTGTGTGAAGTCTCGCAATACCTTCTTCAAAATGCCTACGACTTAGAAAAATAGGTCCGTATCGCGTTTATGTGTGAGCTTAACCTCCTATGGCTTAGTTGAATTTTGACAGCTTATTAAGAAAGACGGGGGAGGGGGGGGGGGGCGCTGCTTATTGGAAACTGACTTCTTTATCGGGATGGAATGCCGATTTTATTTGTTGGTTTGTTTAATCTTTTGGTTGGGAGGTTATTTTACCTAG